CACCACCAATGAGCGGTATCGCCGTAAGTAACGCCATGAACGCTGCGGCCGGATCTTTTCCAAGTCCTAGTCCAACTAATTCCCCTAATAACTCGGCCTTTTCTGGTTGGAATCATAAGCGCGTCAAATACGAATTTTCCGAGGCCACCACGCCTTCATCCAGTCAATCTTCGCCTAGGAACAGCACACCCGGTGGTTATCAATTACCAGGCCTAGGAGCTGGTCCAGGGACGCCGGGTGCCAACCCATCTACACCAGCCTACACTAGTAGCAACCTGCAGATGGTAACCAACGCCTCGAGTCCGCATCATTATTCTAGCGCGACCAGTAACGGGGGCACACCCACCCCGACCCACGAAGGTCTAGATCGCTATATTGAACATGGTGCCGTTTTACATACTTCATCACCTGAAAATGTTGGTAATGCCGAAGAGTCGAGACGCTACGAGCAATATCGACAGCGAGAAGACCCACCAGCTACAGAAGATATCAATGGTGGGTGGGAATAGGTCATTAGAACTTTATACAAGTTTAATGCGCATGTTGCACCACCACAGGTGACTTATTCTTAAAGAATTCTCTTTTCTTTTCTCATTAGACAAAAAATGTTAAATGTGTATAGGCGATCTTTTTTCGTTGCATATATTTCTTTACTTTTTTCCTTTTTTTTTATTATTTCAAAAAAAAAATCTACAAACATTGTCTTCGCTTTTTTCGTAGGATTTTTTTATTTTTCTCTTTATAATACCATTTTTCTTGATACAAAAACTTTCCTTCTCTCTCGATGGACTTTAGAATCGTTAAGATTTATTAAACATTAGACAAGGCGAGAGGGCGGGGAAGGTGCGAGGTAAAAAAATTTTTTGTGAAATTTGGGTTAAGTGTTGGGTGGGAATTACAAAAAAAAAAAATTTTGATTTCAATACTTTGATTTTTCGAATTGTGTTTCTTTTTCTTATTTTTTTCCTTTTCTACAAGAACCAAAACAAAAAAATTCAATAAAATGTGTAAAATAGAATAAACAAAAA